ATTTTTCAAAAAAACTGCTCACTAGCGCCCCCTATTGTGTGGTAGTCACATATAGTTTCTCAGAACTTAGTTTTGCTTGATTCTGAGAAAGTGTTCCTTATGAAACCAAACTAATCCCATATTTTTCTAACTTGAGCTCCCGCCCCCCAAAATGTCTGTGCACGTCCCAGCTTACCATTGATAAAAAATGCTAAATTGTTTGGTTTGATGGAAAGAATGTATGTCTCAATAATGTCTTACCAGCATGGGCGGCGCCAGGATTTTTTTGCTGCAGTAGCTTAGCAGTTGCTATATGACAGCACGGCATTGAGTTAATTTTCAAAATAAATAAACAAACAATACCAGTGGGCCAAGCACGAGCCTGTTCATATTGTAGCGTTCATCGCTATTCAAAATCACGAGCCTTCAATGTCGAAAACGTTCTCTTTATTTTCGGGTATTGACGGCCACAGCCACGCCTTATAGAACCAATCAATAGTATAACACTCATTATGACACTCGAAGACAACTCCTACCGTCTCGTACTCCCTCCACACACACACACCGAAAAGGCACACACACACGTCTCTCCCTAACTCCCACCAACAACATTGCCTAAATAACTTTACAAATGTACTAAACTGTGCACATCTGATAACTCACATAAGTATTAACTTGGACACGCTACAATATTATCATTAATATTTACATTAAAACATTACTTTGCAAGGTAAGCACAACCAACATAAGTTTGTAAAAGCAGAATTCGAACACTGTTTCTGTGCTCCTACAATATTTTTGTATAATACCATTACACCCTAAGCGTACAAGTACACAATCGTTCACTTTCAACTGGCATGCTGTGGCATTTAACCTCACCACAGACAGACAGACTCGCTCGCTAACTCACTCACTCACTCACTCACTCACTCACTCACTCACTCACTCACTCACTCACTCACTCACTCACTCACTCACTCACTCACTCACTCACTCACTCACTCACTCACGCACGCACGCACGCACGCACGCACGCAAAACAATGGGGTTGCTAAGCCGTTGCTAGGCCAATTGTTGGAGTTACTATAGCAACTCCAAGCTACCCCCTGGCGCCGCCCCTGCTTACCAGACATGTGAAACCAGACAGAACATCATGAACTCTTGACCTATTTACATTATGCATTTTAGAAGGGGCAAGCAAAGCATAAAAGTTCCAACCACAATTCTAGGAAGGCGTTGTTTGTTTTGACACCTTGACAACGGTTACAACGATTGAGGACAACAATGCACACAGGATGAGAGTGAACTGTATACAGACTTGATGATTTTAGGTCTAACATCCAGGAGCAACACAGAATAGAGACAGTTTTAAGGTTGTTTCTGTTAATAAATGTAATGTGCATATTTTAAATTGAAGTTAAAATAAATCTAAATTCTAAACATGACATTGAAAATGTGTTTTGCTTTCATAAAAATGTTCATATTCCCTTTTGTTAATATTGCATATCATTACTATAGTCTTAATTTGTTTAATTTTAACTGTACATTTTTAATTGATTCATTAAGTAAGAATTGAACATATGTGACCTCCTTCTCAATCAAAGATAGAAAAGGGGAAACCACCTGATGCAGAGAGGGAGGAGGGAAGAGACTATAAAAGATGAGTGAAGAGAAACGAGAGAGCTTCGGGGGACTTTTTTGAGGCTTGATTTTGGGTCTTGGGCTCTTTTAGACGGCTCTAGGGGGTTAAATTGGGAACCTGTTGCTTTTGTAACGGGTGTCCTTGTAAAACGTTTGTATCTCTTTTTTTATTTTTTGTATCTTGTAAATCCTCTATTTTTGTTAAAAACCCAATAAAACCGGTTTGTACTTTGTCACTGCTGTGATATCAGTGTTTGACTCTCTCTATGTTTGATATTACATGTGCATTGTTTTAATTGGCATAGCCGGTTAAAAGAGGGGGTTAGGGATTGTGGGTCCTGAAGCTGCCCTAATTACCAGGGAGTCTCCCAACGACACGGAGTTTCTCCTCCAGGGAAAGTTTAGATACTGCTCTTGGGTTCTACCAGCCCACCAACACCTACTGCACTACAAACTCCGTTTTGCTATCCTGGCGGTCAGACATCCGACGATTTAGTTCCTGAAATAACTGATACGACAGGCAGCTGGTGTCAGAGGCCACGCTGTTAGTGCCCCCCTAAACAGATTAAGGTGATCTTGCATTTAGATTCTGGGGGGTTAGTCCTAAAGGTAGGACGGCCGTTTTCCGGAGCCTTATCAGCATCGGAGCACGGTATCGGAGACGACCTAGATATCAACGTTGGTTTTATCGAAGTTAGATTCCTTTTCAATAGTAAAGTACAAGTACCTCTAAATAGTACTTAAGTACAGTTCTTGAGTAAATGTACTTAGTTACTTCTCACCTCTGCTATGAACCTAAGAAGTAGCTGTAGATTTGTTTTGTTGTGTCTGTCGGTTGTATTGAGTTGTCTTGTTTTGTGTCAGTTGTAGTTGTGTTGATTATTTCAGAGACACAGCCGGAGAAGGAGCACTGAGAGCAGCATGGAGGAGAACAAAGAGACCCCTGGAGCTCAGGTTAGATATCAGTGTTTCCCCTACCATTGTGCCCCCCCCCTGAAATTCAAGTTTTTTTTCAGACAGACAGACAGACAGACAGACAGACTCCAATTATTTGGTCATCTATGTAAACAAATATTTCCAATGCACACCTTTGTCTATTTAATATAGTTGTAATAAATCATTCCAATGTGTACTATATGACGGTAAAAAATATATATACAGTTTAAAAGGGGAGTGATTAGTACAATATGCATGAATAAAGAATGCTAACTAGGTAAGATAAGAGAGAAGAGTTTATAAAATAAACAAGTTTAAATTATTTGTTATTGGTTGTGATCATATTCTAAAGATGTTTGGATTATTGAAATACAGTGGGGCAAAAAAGTATTTAGTCAGCCACCAATTGTGCAAGTTCTCCCACTTAAAAAGATGAGAGAGGCCTGTAATTTTCATCCTAGGTACACTTCAACTATGAGAGACAAAATGAGAAAAAAAAATCCAGGAAATCACATTGTAGGATTTTTAATGAATTAATTGGTAAATTCCTCGGTAAAATAAGTATTTGGTCACCTACAAACAAACAAGATTTTTGGCTTTCACAGACCTGTAACTTCTTCTTTAAGAGCCTCCTCTGTCCTCCACTTGTTAACTGTATTAATGGCACCTGTTTGAACTCGTTATCAGTATTAAAGACACCTGTCCACAACCTCAAACAGTCACACTCCAAACTCCACTATGGCCAAGACCAAAGAGCTGTCAAAGGACACCAGAAACTAAATTGTAGACCTGCACCAGGCTGGGAAGACTGAATCTGCAATAGGTAAGCAGCTTGGTGTGAAGAAATCAACTGTGGGAGCAATTATTAGCAAATGGAAGACATACAAGACCACTGATAATCTCCCTCGATCTGGGGCTCCACGCAAGATCTCACCCTGTGTGGTCAAAATGATCACAAGAACGGTGAGCAAAAATCCCAGAACCACACGGGGGGACCTAGTCAATGACCTGCAGAGAGCTGGGACCAAAGTAACAAAGGCTACCATCAGTAACACACTACGCCGCCAGGGACTCAAATCCTGCAGTGCCAGACGTGTCCCCCTGCTTAAGCCAGTACATGTCCAGGCCCGTCTGAAGTTTGCTAGAGAGCATTTAGATGATCCAGAAGAGGATTGGGAGAATGTCATATGGTCAGATGAAACCAAAATATAACTTTTTGTTAAAAACTCAACTAGACGTGTTTGGAGGAGAAAGAATGCTGAGTTGCATCCAAAGAACACCATACCTACTGTGAAACATGGGGGTGGAAACATCATGCTTTGGGGCTGTTTTTCTGCAAAGGGACCAGGACGACTGATCCGTGTAAAGGAAAGAATGCATGGGGCCATGTATCGTGAGATTTTGAGTGACAACCTCCTTCCATCAGCAAGGGCATTGAAGATGAAACGTGGCTGGGTCTTTCAGCATGACAATGATCCCAAACACACCGCCCGGACAACGAAGGAGTGGCTTCGTAAGAAGCATTTCAAGGTCCTGGAGTGGCCTAGCCAGTCTCCAGATCTCAACCCCATATAAAATCTTTGGAGGGAGTTGAAAGTCCGTGTTGCCCAGTGACAGCCCCAAAACATCACTGCTCTAGAGGAGATCTGCATGGAGGAATGGGCCAAAATACCAGCAACAGTGTGTGAAAACCTTGTGAAGACTTACAGAAAACGTTTGACCTCTGTCATTGCCAACAAAGGGTATATAACAAAGTATTGAGAGGAACTTTTGTTATTGACCAAATACTTATTTTCAAATAAAAATAAATTCTTTAAAAATCAGACAATGTGATTTTCTGGATTTTTTTTTCTCATTCTGTCTCTCATAGTTGAGGTATACCTAGGATGAAAATTACAGGCCTCTCTCATCTTTTTAAGTGGGAGAACTTGCACAATTGGTGGCTGACTAAATACTTTTTTGCCCCACTGTATATACAGTTCGGTTTCATGAGTGTTGAGAGCTGTACCCATAAATCTCTTCATCTTGTGCTCAAAGTGCACCAGATTGATGCATTTAACTTCAACATAAAAAAAAAAAATCTTGCCGCGGGAGCATGCCCCCGGACCCCCATAGATTATGTGATGTCCACTCACAAATAAAGCAGGTTCACATGGATAGGATACTAGATAAGTTTGCCAGGCATTATACACTACACATTTTAATGGATTGCACCATAGTCCTGACAAATATTTTGTTAGAAAGGCAGGAAAAGGGATTCAAATCGAGAACTATTTCCATTGCGGAGGGCCCACAGACCCCCTGTTTTGTGTCCCCCCCACTTCTCAAACCAAAGTCACTTTCCTCCCCCCTGCACGGATCGCATCATCGGACCGCCCTCATCCCGCCCTGGCAGCAACTCCCCAAAGCAGTAAACCTAGGGGAAACACTGCATATAGATTAGAACGTTGCTGTATTTACTCTGATTAGAATTACTTACTTAACAATTAACTGGATTCTGATTTTTAAAACTATCTAGTTTGCAAAAGTGTTATCTTTAATGGTTAATGTTGCTGCAGTTTTACAGTAATAGCAGTGTTTTACCTCAGATTCCCGTGTTTTACTTACAGAACCGTGTGCAGTGTTTGCAGAGCTGAAAATGTGTTTAGAGTTTTGGAGCTATGGTTTTGCTGTTTTTAGAAGTACAGATCTTCTACTTCAGTAAAAGAAGTATTCAGATCTTGTATTATATATTTATATATAAATAAAAAACAACGCTTTTCTCCTGGGTTCCCTTGAAGCCCGGCCTGTATTTAAGTCTGCGGACAATTTATTTAAACAGTTCCCTCCTGTCTTTATTCATTCAAACAAGGGAATTACATGTTTATAATGTGCTGAAAAACACAAAACATATACAGGGATGTGCATCTTTCAATCCAATCCAATCCATTTTATTTATATAGCACATTTAAAAACAACAGAGTTGAACAAAGTGCTGTACATCAACAACTGTATAAAAACATAGCATAAATACATAAAAACAGACAGGACATGAAACAAATGTAATACACGAGACAATGAAACCAGATCAGAAGCCACCGACTGAAAAACTCTCCTATATGACGTAAAAACAATACAAAACACTAGTAAGGTAAAAAATAAATAAATAAATAAATAAAAACCACATTTAAAAGCACAAGTGTCACCTGGTCTGTACAGTAAAAGCCAGGGAAAATAAGTGGGTTTTTAAACGAGATCTAAAAACAGGCAGAGTTGAAGCAAGTCTAACCTGGAGGGGTAATTCGTTCCATAACTTTGGAGCTGCAACAGCAAAGGCTCTGTCTCCCCGCTGCTTTAGCCTCGATTTTGGGACTACCAGAAGGAGTCTGTCAGCAGACCTCAGTGACCGTGTGGGTGTGTATGGTTTTAAAAGATCTGCCAGGTACGGCGGGGCTAAGGCATTTTTTATTTTGGTACAATCAAAATATAACATCGTAAATATAATCTAGATACATTTATCATTGTTTCTTCTTTAAGAACAATACAGACTGCTAACTCAACAGGAACTATCTAAACATCCCGATCAAAGTTTAAAGTCACAACATTTTATTAACCAAACTGATTATTCGAGAAACTACTTGGCAGATTAATGAACAGTGAAACTAAATTCTTTCAATGCAGCTTAACGAGGCCAGCAGTTTAACCCTGGACATATAATATGTTATAAAAGGACTATTAGAAAGTTAGTTGAAAAACAGCATAGTGAAACAATTCTTTATGGATCAGGAACCGTTACAAACATGAATTAAATCGGGAGAAACAGCATCTCTGTGGCGGCATAGTGTGAAAGCTGGTTAGAACATAAAAAACTGTCAGTTAGTCAGACTTCAATTCAGAAAGACTCTTAAAATATAACAACACAGCTCTCAGGACATCAGGAGGAGGAAACAGCTAGCTTGACTCTCATAGTTGATCAAAATTATGCAGTGTGGATTCGCTCATGGACTTTAAGGTGAACACTTTGAGAAAACATCTTCCCACACTCTTCACAGCTGTACGGTTTCTCTCCTGTGTGAATACGTTGATGCGTTTTTAGAGTACTTAATTGAGTGAATGTTGTCCCACACTCTTCACAGCTGTACGGTTTCTCTCCAGTGTGAATACGGTGATGCGTTTTGAGAGCACTTGATGTCGTGAATGTTTTCCCACACTCTTCACACCAGTACGGTTTTTCTCCAGTGTGAATACGGTGATGCGTTTTGAGAGTACCTGATGTAGTGAACTTTTTCCCACACTCTTCACAGCTGTACGGTTTTTGTCCAGTGTGAATACGTTGATGTCTTGTGAGTTCACTTGATGTCTTGAACGTTTTCTCACACTCTTCACACCAGTAAGGTTTTTCTCCAGTGTGAATACGTTGATGTGCTTTGAGAGAACCTGATTTAGTGAATGTTTTCCCACACTCTTCACAGCCGTATGGTTTTTCTCCTGTGTGAATACGTTGATGTGCTTTGAGATCACCTGATGTAGTGAACGTTTTCCCACACTCTTCACAGCTGTATGGTTTTTCTCCTGTGTGAATAAGTTGATGTGTTTTGAGAGAACCTGATCTAGAGAATGTTGTCCCACACACTTCACAGCTGTACGGTTTTTCTCTAGTGTGAATAAGCAGGTGGCGCTTTAAATCTCCAGATGTTGAAAAGCATTTGTCACATTGCTGACAGCTGTGACGTCTCTCTCTTCCTTTCAGTTTCTAAAACAGACGGACAGAGAAAGAGAGAATGTAAATCTAAAAAGCATAAATAAATATACAGTTTACAAAATAGTACTTGTACTAACTGTTTGTGTTTATTATATTTGTATTATATTTAATACAGTAATACAGCAACATTCTAACCACAGTATATACCAGAGGTGGGGGACTCGAGTCACATGACTTGACTCGAGACTTGCTTGAGTAATGGCCCGTCCACACACAGGCATGAAAAAAATCTTTCAAAGCTTCGCCCATTCACTTGAATGGGGTGACGTAGAAGATTTTGAATCTTCGCCGAACTGCATTGTGGGGAGCGGAGCATGGCTTTGCAAGCATCGTGAGCATCAACAGTTGAGCAATGTTCAACTTTTGATGCTCCCGATGCTTTCGAAGCTGGCATCAGCCAATCAAATCCCGTTTATGAAAATCCCGCCAGTACAAGCGCTAGCCAATCAAACCGCGTGCAAGCTGGGAGAGCCAGACCGCAGTTCATTTCCTCATATTCCAAACGAGAAATTACGGTAGCAAATCACCCGGTTCTTTACGACCAGAACTATTTACCGGGATACAAACCGGAGGAACCAGGCATGGAGGGAGGTGGCAGAGACAGTGGGTGAAACTGGTAGGTTTTTGCCTGTTTGGGGAGTTTATATCCAGTTTACTTCGTTTTAACATTGCTATTGCTTTGTATGTCGGGGGCGGGAGATTCATGCGATTGGTTATTGGTCACGTTGCTCGCAAAAAATCGGCCAGCATCAAGATTTTTTTCATGCCTGTGTGTGGACCGGCCGTAACATTGATGAAAGACTCGACTTGACTTTGACTTGGTATTCATGACTTGAGACTTGACTTAGGCTTGAGACAGATGACTCGAAAGGACTTAACCTTTTTAAATAAAATATTTGCATTTGTTTTTGGATTGTAGAAGCCCCTAAAGGACAATGGGGGAAAAAAAGGGTTAGTTCGCATGAGAAAGTTATAGGTGCGCCAAGTAGGAAGTGGAGCGCACAGGAGACAACCGTTTCATTGCAGACTGTTATGTTTATGTGGGGAAATGGCAGTGCATACATTATTTGAGATATATTTCGAACTCGGACTTCATTTTAGGGACATTTCGGCCAGGGGTGTAGAGCTATTTGTTTAAAGGTCACATGTCATGGTCATTTCCACTGATCATAATTCCATTGTTGAGGTATACTAGAATAGATTTACATTGTTCAATGTTCCAAACTCACATTGGTTTCTCATACAGCATCTCTGTATAGTATGTGTATTCACTCTCCGTCCTAAACGGCTTGTTGGAGCTCCTGCCCCCCCTCCCTGTGAGCCCAGTGTGCTCCGATTGGTCAGCTCGGCCCCTCTGTTCTGATTTGTCAACCACCAGAGAGGCTACGCCCATGGTGTTTTTTCGGCTCTGAGAGGAGTAGCAGAAATGAAATGGCGTCAGTAAAGCCATATATGTACGAACCGGAGTCCGACCCTGAGTGTGAAACGGACCGTGATGGACCTGATCCACCATCCCAAACAAGAATACAGCAGGCGGTTTCACAGTGGAACGTTTTCATTTTGTATAGCTACTACATTTCAGAAGTAATGTTAGAACTTCATCATGTATCTACATCACAGTAACAAGTGTGTCTGCTGACTAACCAAACTTTCCAACTGTTGTTATTTAGGTGCACGTGTGGAAACTGCGCAGTAATGCATACCGAGGTGGAAAACCTCTGTTGCAGGGAGATTAGAAAGGTGACAGTGTAGTGCCGATGAAAGGGAGTCGGGGGCGGTGTGTTTAGAATCAGGTAAAATACATGTCTGCTCTGTCTGACAAGCTAGGAATGACAAGCTAAACCTAAGAGCACACACTAAAGAGTCCGTGTGGCAACACTATACCAAAGGTGAATTATGGTCAAAACAGGGTGTCACCACAACAGATACAAAAACACCAACATTATATACACCATACATACTTGTCAAGTCAATAGACTATATGCCCTTTTATTTATTCTATAGTAATTGAATGTTTATTTTGTAAACCTCGCCATAGTTGGATTTAATTGCTAAACGTGTTATGTTACAAATATCTTATCCTCCTATAGGTTTTAACACGAATGCACCAAGTCCCAGAACCCATTGTGTGCATGGTTGACCACCCCGGACTAGAACCAAACTGCCTCAATCCCTACACCCTACAGAACCTCCACAATATTTATCGGTTTGATTATGGACCTTTGAGTCGTAGAACTGAAGAAGAGTAAGTTATTTTTAGCTATAATAAACTACTACTGTATTAGATGAAAAATCAAATAATGGTTTGCTATATATGAATGATCTAGGAGCAAATAATTCACGGAAGAAAGGCTATCAAGTAGTTCCATCAAACTTTATTTTGATAAATGTACAAATTGATCATGTGTATATATACACTGTATGAGATAAGATGGACCTTTATTAATCCATGTGGGGAAATTCAGTTGTTCAAGCAGCCAGAGGGTAAGGGTGAAAAACAGGACAGCACATATATGTTATCATCCATTCCTCCTCTTATAGGCGTTTTAGGCATCTGGCCTATCGCAGCTTCGTAAGCTGGTGCTGGGGCTTTTTGGGACGAGGAATCAGAGTGGTCATCCCGTCGTGTGTGGTCCGCCGGATACGCCAGGAGTTTCCTGATCTGGCTGGACAGTACGTGGGCTTCCGACCGCCCCTAGACTAAAACGTGAGACATGGCGGGCTACCACTTCCTCCTTTGAGGGCCTGTCAAATTGAGTGGACAGGTCCTTTGGGATGTTGATTTTATTCATCTCCTCCACAAAGGGTGTTGGGTCCTCAAAGACTTATTCAAACACCAGCCTCATCAGCTCACCCACGTACACTGAAAAATATAACATTCATATAATAATTAATTATTTGTATTCACTTATTCATTTCTCTTTTATTCTTTCATTGTACATATAATTCAGTGTGGCTATCTCTCTAGGTCGTCCTCGGTCTAGCCCTCCATCGTCTGTTGCAGTCATCCCGGTTCTCCATAGATCTGGCCAGTTCTTTGGTACTTTGTGCTATAATAATTTAAAATGTAATTTATGTTTGTAATCAAAAATATGTTGACAACTTACTGTATGTAGGGTCCTTCTTTACAGGCTTTGCGGTGCATTCTCCCCTCCTTGATTTTGGATAGGCCAATCTGTACACAGGTAGTCCTGCAGCTGTTGTGGCTTGCTCACGGTCAGCATTCTCATTGTGATGCATGGCTGCTAGACACAACCTATAGAATAGCAAAATAAAATAAGACTTTGTGTTATGACAGAATAAAACCCTCATGCCACAAAACAGTGACTGTTATAAAATGCTACTGAATAAATTATACAGTGTATTACCTGCACAACATTCCCATGAAGGGAAAAACCTCATTTTTGGGGGCAAAACGCAGAATCAAGCTGTGGAACTACTCCAGGGATGAGGTCTGGTAGGCTTAGCTTTTGCACATCTTTGAGAACTCTCTTGTTGTTGAGTATTTTCTCAACTTTGTGGAGTGTTATTGAATCTTGAGTAAAATTACAAAAACATCACCAGCCCATTAGAACAATACAACTTATCTTACCTATCTTATGAAGGAAGTGAAGTGTTTTTAAATGTTTCACTTGTTATTTTTATAAATATTGAACTTACCAGGTTTTAGCCATTTATTTTCATCCGTTGTGGCTATTTCAGGATGTTCACACTTGGGGAATAGGGGGTCGTCATGCACGTGGATGTTTTGTAGGTGGTTGACCACTGACATCCACCTTGCCACCTTCTCCGGCCCCGAGGTTGTGCTTGTCGCACTCCAGTAGACATGGTTTTTTATGCTGTGCAGCCACCTCTTCAACAACTTGCAGTCCTTGTTCTGTGAAAGTTTCACAAGTTTCTTGGACAAACCTGATAAAAAGAAAACGCATGTGAATATTCAAGCAATAGTGTGTAAATGATGTGCTGTGATGGACAATATTCAAGGATGTGGTGGAAAGAGGGTGGGGGGCAGACAGAAGGGTAAGCACAGCATGTTAATTACAACCATAACATCCATATGATAATTGCATGACAATGGTCAGGGCGTCACCCTTATGTCTGAAAACATTTTATAGCCAGGAAACAGCCATACATATTCATATACACATCACTGTAAATTCCCATCCTAAAGAGTACTCACATTATCCTAAGATTAGTGAGTGAAATGTAATTTACAATGACAAAAGGTGCTGTGATCAAGTGGTCTGCCAGACAGTTTACAATAACAGAGGAAAGACCAGATTAGAGGGACAAATTGTAGGGGGATATCATTCATGTATCTATCCAGACATGATGTCATGTCTGCTGCTAAAAAGGACAGTGTCTCTGATTTGGTATTCTTTCATTACAACACATAGGGATAAATACCCTTTTCAAAGTGCCAGACATCATAGAATTGTTCTATGTTGCGTTCCCTCAGAAACTTCTGGATCTGTGGATGACGGTCAGTCACAATGTACTCAACCGCCAAATCGTTTGACTCCAGATGATCTAGGCATCTTTTGAGTCCCTCCTTTTCCATGTGGTAACTACCACCTACTTCATTGCTCTGTTGGTGAATAAGAAATAGGGCATAAATACACTGAAGCATGCATCAACAGCCAGCACGCCTAAAATTACACCCAGAAAGAGAATCCCACCTGAACAAGCTGGAAGTCCACAATGGTGTTGCTTCCCAGGTGCATTAGTGTGTAGCTCCCAAACTTAGCTGAGTGGCCTGAAGAAAATATAATACAGGAGGTTTCAAGACTTTAACAGAATTTCAATGGATAAGTTCGATGAATTGTAATATACACCAGTAACTCTGGCACTAGACTGTCTTGTTTGTTTCTGCTTACCTGGAGAGTCTGCTCTCATATCTCCTGCAACTGTGACCTTTCCCCCCTGGTGGTGTAGTTGCTGGAAAATCTTCAGCTGATCAGTTTTCCACTTGTGGATAATAGCAGGCTCCAGATAATGCCTAGCATGCCTCCTGAAGGTCTCATACTGGAAGATCTCCAGCTGCATATCTATGAATAAATAGAAAAACAGGACAAGTATTTGAAAAAGTCCACTTCTGTCATTTTTCATATGCTATGGATGTTAGATGGTAAAATACCTTTTTTAGTTTGAAGAAGGAAGCACCAGTGAAGTATGTAGCAGCAGATAATCGTAAGTTGCCAACCGGGGTACTTCCGATGATGGGCTGGCTGTCCCATTGTCTGAAGTAAGTGCAGTTTGGACAACGCTGTGTGAACGCCACAAAAGTCCCATTTTTTCGTTTTTGGACATCACAGTCTGTCTTACACACCGGACATTTTTCAAACAGCTGTCCGAGGCAGCTTTCAAACACAATGTACTTTGCGTCACTGTGCGTGGATCGTGTCTGAAGTCTAATGTAACAAAACAAAATGAACAATACATGTTAGATGTCAACTCTGAACAGTAATAGTAATGTGTACCAAATATACCAAACTTACGATACGTCAGATTCTTCTCCAGTATCATCAGGGTGGTAACTCGAATCCAGAGTCTCTTCAAATTCAATCGAAGTATCTCCTTGTTCCTGCTCCAACTCTAGTCGAGGTCTCTTGCTAGGTCCCAATCCTGGGCCCTTTATTGGTGTAGATGCTAAGGTGAATTCTGGGTAGGTTGAAGTTTCAGTGCCAACACTTTTGAAAGACACTGTGGCCTGGATGCCTGTTAATAAAAGGGAAAAGTGCATAAATACATTATATAATACACTAATACATTGTAAAAGGCCAACAATTTGTGTACATCTGACAGATTAATTCATGAACCAATTAGAAAAAACTACAAACAGCACTGTATTTCCTGAAGTACACATAACAGTATTTCTGTGATATACAATAATATCAATTAAAGTTGTATTTATAGAGCACATTTAAAAATGATTTTTGGTCAAGCCAAAGTGCTGTACATGTAATAAAAGCACAATTAAGGTAATGTATCACAAATAAAATAAAACAGTCAATGTCAGTGTTATAGTCTACCTTTGCTTCTCACGTGTGCCGACTTCAGTGTTCCCGAGGACAACTGTGTAGCAACTGACACTTTCAATTCCACTGTCTGTGTTCCCACAGACCGTGTCTCAGCCCTCTGTAGAGTTCCCACAGAAACAGTCTGTGTACGGTCTGTTTGGCATCCGACTGTACTGGAGCGGTGGGGGGTACCGGGGTCCTGTTGTGATGTACTCTAAGAAAGATACACATAATATTCATACAATTAATTTTGTATTCGATTAAATCAGTCAATTTCCTAAAAGCAACACTTTCTGGGACACATTCCTAACGAAATCAAGTGCAAATCACAAAATATTAGATAAACTTTGTTGTTTCAGGTTCGTTAGCTTGCCAGCTAGATGAATATGCTAACCTACGTTTGCTAGTTGTTCAGTGTAATATGCCAACCTACCATGAACAAAAGGTAATGGTTCATATTAGGCTAGCAATAACGTGTTTACAATTGAAATCTTATACAGTAGTCTTCTACGTTTCGGTCATTCTTTTGAGCTGGCATGAAAACAATGTTATCGCCTAGCATGTCTAGCTCCCGGTAGCGCGGTGGTTCATCTCGACACGATATGAACGCTATAGCTCCATTAGGAACGACAACTCAAATATACTGACCGTAGGGTAAATAACCCGGAGTATACTGTCTAGGCTAGCAATAACGTGTTTACAATTGCAATTGCAAACGCTAGCAACTTAGTTAGCCCAGTTAGCACTGTGTCAATGCCTTAGCAGCCCGAAACAAGTTTACACATTTAAACAGTCATGGTAGATACCTTGTTTAATAAATACACAAATAACAATGCCAACTTACAGGTTGTGTACTCGAATCTTCCCTTGCTCCAAACCGTCCAAACAAACTAGAAATAGCATCGTCCTTCAGTTTCAATCGCTGTGCATATCCGGCCTTAACCTGGGCAATGTTTTGGAAGCTTTCGTCTGTGAAATGCCGCGCACACAGTGACGATGTTCGAACCTCTGAAGGAACAGTGTTAAACAGAAATGTTAACCACTGACTTCGTCGTGGTTCTTCCGTCGGTAGCAGAAACAGCTCAGATTTCCCCTCACATTTCAGGAAACAGGTCCTTTGGCATGACTGGATCGATTGTGAGCTGAAAGCTTCCAACATGTTAGGCTGGAAGAGGGTGCGGCCAGCGCCGCTGGGTGTGGCCATAGCTCTTCCGGATTGGTCCATTTTGTTCCGGGGACGACATGACATGATGTACCCGGAAGAATCAAATGGACAGTGACGTATCTCCAACGAGGCGTTTTGGGGAGGTATTTTCTGTGTTAGAGTTTACTCGCTACATGGTGTACTTTGAGGGTTTTGACTCTGCACACCATTTACATGCATAAAAACCTTCATAACACACAAGGGGACGGGTAATAACCGGAAAAGCATGACATGTCACCTTTAAGCACCGGATTGGCAAAACAGGAGAGTCTGTAAACCAGTCTGCCTTGATCTATGAATTCATGTCCGTGACTCTCACAGTATCTGCTGCCCACAGCTGTTTTATAGAAGGAAAACTTCCTTCACTTCATCAAATCTCTGCAGCACCAGGAGGTAGTAACGTGTAACTCAGCAGAATCTGAGAAGAACAGCACCAGCTGCAAAGAGCTGTGCCTTTTACTGTTTACTTCACTGTGTTACCTTCATTTGAACAACTAAAGAGTGACCACAGGCTGCTACGTTTTAACCACACACACCTCTACACAAATCGAACTGTCCGATTATTCCCCCTATTACTCGTTTTATGAAGGAGATGTCGGTCACCAAGGCGTATGATGCGTGTGTGTGTTTGTGCTTTGCTCCGCTCTGTGTGTGTGTGATCGGTGTGTTTGTGTCTGTCCGACAACGGCATTCGTTTTTATAATTGCCATGAACACTAATTTACACACATCTGGCCAACTCAATAGGTATACAGTATGTGGGTGTTCCCAAATGAAAGAAGTTTGTTTAATCTTAAAGGGGACCTATCATGCAAAATGCACTTTTGTACGTCTTTTATACTTGAATATGTGTCCCCGGTGTTCCAGGGAACTCACCAAGTGTCAGAAAACACAATCCTCTCTTTTCCTCCATACCCAAATCTCTAAAAACAGGGCTACAACGGAGCTGATACAGATTTGCATTTTTTTTTTTAAACCCACTATTCACAGCGGGCGGTAACCCATTGAAAAATATACATATGCAAGCACATGAAATACAACACATTGGGAAAATAGTAAAAAAACATAGTTCCGTTCACAGTGTTGATGGAACATTTTAATATGAATAAATCCCTCTTCTTCTCCAATATGCAATTTCAATCAAATATTAAAAACTTAACATCAAAAGGTATAAAGATAGGTTGTCATGAACACCTTGATATGAACCTAAAAAGACTTGCAAACAAGAAATAAATTATTTCAGGTATATATAAACTTCTCCTCACCTCCACTACCAATACTAATCTGCAGACACAGACAAGATGGGAACAGGATTTAGGCATCACCCTTACTCCAGTTGAGTGGGGTATGTAAAATGAAAATGTAACTGAGACTGTAATCCCCCTACCCCCCACCCTTCATGTTATTGTCCTATTTGTGATGTGTGTGAGCCATTCCTTGTCCGTATCTTTTTGTCTTTAAAAAAAAAAAGTTTTATTAAACATTTTCAAAGGTCTCAGGCTCGAAAATGACATTCTCTGAACAAATTACCATAACTTCACTTCTAAAAGGGGTAAATTAATAATCTTTTTTCTCAAAGCAATGATAAACCTGTGAGTTGGATGTAGAAAAGTCAGAATCAATATAGAATTTTTTTATTTTAAAGTAAACATAGTAAAAAAACTTAAATGATAGTGTTTAATTCCAAGTTCAATGCAAAAGCTAGACGCAGGGCTATTCAATTAGTTTGGAATGGGGGCCGGTTGATGAAAATGATCCAAAGCTAGGGGCCGGGAAAAAGATAGCTTGAAATATGAGCAATCATATTAAGAGCTTCAGATAAGGTTAATACTACAACAGCAGTGGAGTGCATATATTGTGTTTAATTCACTGTCTAAGTCAGAGGTGCCCAGTATGTCGACCGCGGTGGCAATGTTGGTAGATCGCGAGTCATTCATTAAAAAAAAAAAAAATCCAGCTCCGTTAAAATAGACAAAACAAGTTTTGATCCCTCCTCCTTTGGAGTTTACTTGATTGACAGAAAAAGCGACCTATCGCTTTCCAGTCTGTTAACCCAGAATGCAAAGCGATACAAAATCAGTCAAGTGCCGGGAAAACTCAAATTAAGTTAAAGAGACAAACAACAAAATGAGTGCGGGACTGAGCAAAAAGCTAAAGACAAACCACTTCCACCCAGAATGGGAGGAAGAATATTTTTTTGTGATGTCACATTCAAAGGTTATTATTTGTAAAGCAAGCGTCGCTCCTGCCAAAGAAAGGTAACGTGGAGAGGCATTATCGGAGTGTTCACAAGGCATATGATAGCGACTTCCCTCCGAGTAGTAGAAAGAGAAAGGTCATGTATTATTACTACAAAAACATTATCTCGCAGTCTTAGTGTTGCCAACTCGTTTCTAACATGCAAAAAGACAAACAAATGCGTCTATGGTCGGTGTATTTTCGACCTTTCCAATCCAGACTTGATCTCTCTCCCCCGTCTGTGTGCGAGGGGGCGGGGCAGTTTACACACACGCCGCTGCTACATGCAGCAACCATAGACTGTATATGGCAGCAACACACGGAGGGGATGGCGGAGAGAAGAGCTCCAAGGTGTGGTTAAATGTTACCCGTCTTGAGGTGGACAATGCTCGTTGCCAAGAGTGTTCAGCATGTAAGGGCGGTAACACGAGCAATTTGTCTAAATATTTATCAAAAGTGCACCACATTCAGACGGAGGAATGCACTGGGTTCGACTGTCTTTCTAGTAGCCCTCCCATCCACGAGTAACGTTTCCACGTCAGGTGTTATTATGTATGCTAGCAGCAACACACAGCGTTAACTCAATTATACAAACATGGGTTAATGATTAGAGGTAACAGAGTTACTCTTTATTTTGTTAAAGTTTCAGCTATTCTGTTTACAGTTCTGTCATCAGATTATTTAATACGATTTGTTAAAACATTGTTGTTTCTTTTGATGTGAAATATTATTTATTTAATTTAAATAAAAAGCAATGTTAATTTGATTCACAATTTGTTAAGTTAATTTAATAATCTATGTATTTTTGAATCAAGTATTCATCTTTATTGTCTTCATTGTTAGTTTCCACATGCCTAAAACAACCTCAAGCTAAATCTAAAAGTTGATGGCTAAACAAGAGCGTTTGAGAAATTGTGCAAGGCATACAGTAATAGTCCGAATAGTCGATTAATCGTTTCATTAATCGATAGATTAATCGATTATCAAATTAGTCGTTTGTTGCAGCCCTATTGTAGTTATCCCATGTATAAATAAAACGTGTTATTCAGCAACCCTTGCCATTTGGGATTTTATTTTCGGTTGGTAGACCTCGGTGAGCTGGTCATTTCAAAAGTAGCTCACCAGCCAGAAAAGTGTGGGCACCCCTGGTCTAAGTCAATGGTGACTGTAAAAACTACACTGCGCATGCTCAGAGTATTTTCCTATTTAATGTGTGTGGCAAAAAAATAATGACCATTGACCATGACCACAATAATGACCACTGAGCTGCCATCCCACCATACGTCATCTCACATAATTCAGTGCTGATTGGCTGTAAGTACGTGTGCCGCGAAAAGTGTGGTGTGTGAAGGAGACGAGAGAGGTGCAGTGACGCATCCTAAAACCCGGAAGTAAGCTGCGCATGACTTCCCTTGACAAAAAAGCAATGAGATTTCACCATAGGATTTTAGAAAATAGCTCGAAATAAGATCTGTGGGAAACGTACCTGTTAGATGAATGCACATTTTGTTCAGCCAGATAATACCCTACTTTAGGGTTTACCCTACTTTTATAATTTTCTAATCATAAATCTATCGATTAGATTTATGATTCGACTTTTTGAAAATACAAGATAAGGACTTTTACAAAAAAGTAAGAGATTTTTGTCCAGAAGGATAGGCAAATGGACTTCATCTTCAAGTCAAGGTAAGAATGCAATTTTATTGAAAATAGGATCTTACTAAGAGAGAACAATTCAATATTTAAATGATAAAATTACATTTTTTGGGTATCCTTTTGTTGAACTGTCTGTTTCAAATTAATCGAAGCATCAGACAAAAAAAGCTTTTGAAAATAATATTATATTTTGATTTAGGTCAAAATATAATATTTGTAAACCTGAAGAGTCAGTGCCAGTGCCTCACCAGCCATGAACCTCACTGCACGTCACTGCAGAAGCTTATACATAGACATCTAAGTTTTTTGTGCCCCACCACTTTTGCACATATAAAAACGCCACTGGTAACGAGGACCCTGAGGTCTTCTTTCAAAATGTTACTCTTCCTACTGTGTCAGAGGAACACAAAATGTAATTGAGCACAGATATTTCAACTTCCAATAATTATGGCCATTAAATCAATGCAAAACAATAAATCGCCCGGCCCAGACGGATTCACAACTGAATTTTATAAAAAGTTTTCCCCTCAACTAGCACCAATTATTCAGACAATGTTTAAAGAAGCACTCTCTTCAGGCTCCCTTCCTATGACTTTACGAGAAGCCTCTATCTCCCTCCTTGTGAAAAAAGACAGGGACCCATTGTTGTGCTCCTCATATCGCCCTATTTCCCTACTGAATGTAGATGTTAAAGTGCCGTCTAAGGCTTTGGCCAGACGTCTGGAAGATGTGATTCCAGATATTATATCTTCTGATCAGACAGGATTTATCCAGGGCCGACATTCGTATTCAAATCCAGGGGCGCCGCTTGCCGACAGGCAAGGAAGGCAACGGCTTGGGGCCCCGGACCAGAAGGTGGCCCCCAAAGAAGGTAGATTAGGAAGGTCCAACATGAAACCCCCTACTGCAACGACATGTCGGGAGACTCCCTCAAGGCGACCCCATGCATAGCGCGCCGTAAAATGCTGCTTCTTATCATAAGTTTCGTTGCCTTGCTCCGCTCCGGGGGGGGGGGGCTGCTGTCGGCTGTGCGTGGTGATGAGAAGCTGGTTTGAGGTGCCCCCAGTGAATGTTTGCCTAGGGC